CTCCAAAAAAAAAAAGTTCTAATCACAGGTCATTTGGGCACCTACAAGCTGACACTAAAAAGTCAAATAAGAAATTGGGGCATCTGGGCCTAGGTTCTGGATTTACAGATTAAGTATCATGCCTGTGAGTTACCTAAAGGTTTCAACCCAGCACTCAGGCTAATCCAAGTTTCAGAGAAACCCTAGCGAGACTGTTCCAGACCTCCACAGAACTTTGAGGCATTCTCAGAAGTCATCTCAAACTCTGTAAGGATCTTGGAACTGATCATCTCTTTCTGAAGATTCTCTGAGCTAAGACCTGGTTGGGAAGGAGTGAGAGGTCCATGGAGCTTCCCGGGCCTGTTTCAGAGGACCTCAAGTCCCCAGGTTTTGGTGAAAGGGTCCAGGAATTCCAGCAGGTTCAAGTTCTAAGGGCCAAATTTCAAGGGTTTCATACTTCACTGCAGCAGGAGATGAAAAGCAACCAAGCAATTGGCACCCTCTTAGTGGTGACTTTAAAAGTTCTCCAGTTAAGTGAAAGAACAACAGAGAAACCAATCTCCCCCTGGTCTACTTATACCTGAGGCTATAATAAGGACAGCTATGAAGACTTTGTGGCTCATCTTGTACAGATGTTTACCAGTAACCCACCTACTTTTATATCACTCAGTAACCCCCAAAACTAGATAGCCTCAAGGAGGCCACCTCCAGTTCAGGCTCCTGGGCTGAATGGTAACTTTTCGACTTCCTTCCTTTCAAGTCATCTCTCATTAGGATCAATGATTCAAAGGCAAAAGCCCCTATGAGAAGGTATTGCCTGCATCATTCTATGTTTATAAATCCCACATGGTTCTTACTTGGGAGGCTGTTCCTGCAATTTGACAATTGCCTCAACTGAGCTCACTGCAGCGGAGGAAATAGCATGGCCTTCAGATCAAAGTGCTCTTCTGTGTCACAAGGGATATTACTCCCAGCTAGTTTTTGTTGATTTCAAACGTAGGGTTATGGCATCCCTTTGCCCTAACCAGTGCTGGGCTTTATGGTACAGCAAACCCATGGAATTGACTGTGGACACAAAGGACAAGCATATCTGTTTTCCATTGGCTTGGGAAGGGAGGGGAAGTGGGAGGAAAAGCCAAGAGTGTGATGATTGACTCTTGAGTTTTAGATGGCTATGATCAAAACTACTGGTCACATTTAGAACCAAAAGAAAATTCTAGTTTCTAATTTTCTACCCAGATTTCTCTGGAATTTAGCTTTTCTATGCCAATGTAGTTATAAGTCCCACAGAAGGACTCTGAGAGGCCAAGGAAGAGACAATGGAACGTTTGGACTCAGCAAAGACTAGCCCTCTCATTGGTATTACGCGCTAGGATGGAAGCCCAAGTCTCTGCCAATTCAGCCTTGGGAATTACTTTGCTCTTTGTTTTTGTTTAAATTGTAGTAAGTGACCACAGTGTGCTAAATGATTTCTCTTCTGCTCTGTAAGTTCTAATCTACCCTTTTACCTCTAGAAATCCATTTGAGATTCCAAGTGTTAATATTTTATCCCCATTTCCTCCTTGATGCCTCTTTGACAGGTGATAGCAGAGCAGGCAAAGCAATAAAAACAAATCAAAACAAAAAAACTACAGGTCCTCTCACTAGTCACCTGCTGGTACTCCTCCCAGTTGGAATGCAGACCTCACTGCCTAGGCAGGCATGTTCCTGAGTCTCTCCAGGCCTCATCTGTAATATGGAGATTGTAACATAAGACAATAT